AGCTGTTGAACAGCGGAGGCGCGCGGATGAACTCTGGTCGATTTAGGTTGATGCAGCGGTCGTGGCCGAGGTAGTGGCGAAGGATGACGGCGGCGGCGGAGCTCGTGCATTGGAGACGCTGTAAGGAAGAAGATGAAGTCGAGGAGGCAAGGGGGGAAAGTGAAAGGCACGCCTGGCCCTATTTATAAGGCAGAAGGATAAGTGGCATGCGCGGGAATCGAGGAGGCTGAAAAATGGATATGTGACAGCACAAACGCCTCGATTTTTGGAGATTCATTAAAAGTGAAGGCATACTAAGATTTGGGCTTCGTGTGATATTAATGTGAGATGACGTCATGGCGGCTTACCGCGATTCTGTGAGCTGACGTCACGGCGGGTTACAAGATCCCACAAGGACAGATGAGGAAGGATTTTTTCTAAGTGTTGAAGATTGATATGAACAAGTTCACATCAACTTGGGGCCTAATGTTGGGGATATAACTATTGGGTATGACCCGCCCAGGAGGGACCGGGTCGTACCACTGGCGGTTCATAACAAGAAGGCCCATGAAGATGTTGAAGATGGCGGTTCACAAAGCAAGCTTACTGAAGGCCCAAGACCCGGAGGGGACTTGAGGCCCACGGGCGTAAACCGCCATACATTAACTTGTATGTTAAGGAAAGTGTAGTTATGTCACCGAGCCGGACACATTGTGTACGAGCCGACCGGGACTCTGTAAGCCGCCGGGCGTCAGCCTGTGTATATAAAGGGGTGACCTGGCGGCGGTTTAGGGCAAGAAACAACAAGTCAAGAACTAGGTCAAGCGTATTCGCTCCCTGGTAATCGAAACCCAAGCAATACAACCTAAAGCAGGAGTAGGCCTTTACCTTGTTGTGAGGGGCCAAACCTGGGTAAACCCTCTGTGTCCCTTGTCCCATTTAAACCCCTTGAAGCTAACCTCGTAGCGATGGCTCCACACCTAAGTCCTCATGCTAGGGCATCTGTCGTGACAATTCCACGACAATCGCGTTTTACGATACGGAGGGGCCGCCACCTCCTGTTCTTCATCGGGAGGCCAAATCTGGAGCCCATTCGGGGCTCCAGAGAGGGGGATCTTTGGTCTTCGTCATCATCGACCATCCTCCATCACCAATTTCATGATACCCACCATCGGGAGTGGGTAATTCCTTTGTAGGCAAGCTGGTCGTTGAGGAGTTGGATGAGCTTCTTGTTAGGGCTTGATCCCTAGTATCCACTATGTTCTGAGATTGATGTTGATATGCCTTTGCTATGCTTAATGCTTGTCACTAGGGCCCGAGTGCCATGATTTTAGATCTGAAGTGTTTATGTTTTTACCATTATATCTATGTTCTAGATCTGATCTTGCAAGCCATATGCACCTATTATGTGTTATGGTCTGTAAACCCCGAGGTGACAATAATTGCGATACTTTCCGGTGATGACCATAGTTTGAGGAGTTCATGTATTCACTATGTGTTAATGCTTTGTTCCGGTTCCCTATTAAAAGGAGGTCTTAATATCCCTTAGTTTCCTTATGGACCCCGCTACCACGGGAAGGTAGGAGAAAAGATGTCATGCAAGTTCTTTTCCATAAGCACGTATGACTATTTACGGAATACATGCCTACATTATATTTATGAACTGGAGCTAGTTCTGTGTCGCCCTAGGTTATGACTGATATATGATGAATATCATCCAACGAATTCACCGATCCAATGCCTACGAGTTTTTCACATATTGTTCTTGCTATGTTACTATTGCTATTGCTACTGTTACAACTACTACAAAACTTTTACTGTTGTTATTGTTACCACTGCTATCGTTACTACTACTATCAAACTATCATATTCTACGCTACTGATCACTTTGCTGCAAATATTTAATCTCCAGGTGTGGTTGAATTGACACAACATTTTTGAAACGGTTGCCACGGCAACAAAATATTAGCTATCACAACGCTTCAACAGAAGATTGAAGATGGCCATGGAGGATTCCTAGCGCCCAGGGCTATACCATATCATGCTTCTATGAACTGCCTGAGATGTTTATCCCTTTGTTATTTGCACCATTTGATTGTGCAGTAGTCAATTATTAGGGTGATCTCTCACAGTAAATATCAAGTTAAAAGGTGCTCTTCCCAGTGTTTCAACCGTCTATAACATGTGGCTTTCCGGAGTACGTCATGTCCACATAAGTACAAATGGATCATGAATTATAAAACAGGCGAGGTCAGACCAAGCAAGCAGATAACACTCGGTTGTCTTGAAGTTCTGGCAGAATCGTTCTGAGCTCGGAGCCCAAAGCATCGAAACATGACCAAGAATCATATGGTGATATGATTGGCAAAAGATTGCATATCGATCAAAATTCATGTCATCATTGATGTCCACATCAATGACTATGAACCAGATCAAGGTCTTGAATCACTCACCTTCAATTATGAGAGATATTGATTTGAGTGGGAGTGTTAAATTTGTTTAAACACTAGTGCAACATTAATTATGAATAAATGTTTAAATGAATCTTGTGTCTATCCTTGTAGATCAATGGCTCGCAATATATTCAACTTAGCCCCTATGTTAGAGAAAGAAAAGTTGGTTGCTAATGGTGGAAACTATGCGGATTGGATTCGGAACCTAAGATTTGTTCTCATGATTGCTAAGAAGAACTACGTGCTGGATCAGCCTCTAGGTTATGCTCCTGGAAAGGATGCAACAGTAGAAGAAGTTGCTTCTTACGCTGCTCGTAGTGATGACTATGATTTAGTCCAATGCCTCATGTTGACTTGCATAGATCCTGAACTACAGAAGTGTTGGACAATCTACTACTCAATTTATAATTGGGTCACTGGAAGTTCTGTACAAGAAATAGGCAAGGACCAAACATTTTGAATTAACCAAGGCCTTGATTGAATGCAAGATGAAAGAGGGTTCCTCAATGAGTGAGCATATAGTAAAGCTTGTTGGCTATGCTGATAGACTGACTTCTCTGGAATTTGGAATTCCTCCAACACTCCGTATAGATATTGTGCTTGCTTCACTCCCCCCATCTTATGATGGCTTTATCATGAATTACAACATGAGAGAAAAGTGCAAACGAGTTGTTTGCTATGCTCAAAACTATGGAAGCTGGAATGCAGACAAACAAAACAGTGTTGATGGTCAACAAGACCACTAGTTTCAAGAAGAGGGGCAAATCCAAGAAGAAGAAATCTACTGAAGCCGGTAAGACCGAGTCTCATAATAAGAACAAGGGTGGAGCCTCTAAAGAGACAGAATGTTTCTACTGCAAGCAGAAAGGACGCTGGAAGCGTAATTGCAAGAAGTATTTGGTGGACAAAAAGAACGGTTCTTCCGGTAAAGGTATAATCATTATACAAAGTTAATGTTATTCTATTTGTAAAATTTATGTATGTCATGAGTATTTGATAGTGATTGGTTGCTGGACTACAGAGAGCTCACAAGGAGAGAAGAAATGAAGTCATGATACAAGTAGGGAATGGTGATGGGATCGCTGCTCGAAGACCGTTAAAGTCACCGCTTTGCTGAAAGATCTACTCAATTTGTGAGATGCATTGCTTGTCTTGATCCAAGGAACTCATTTGCTAAATTTGATGAAGACAAACTTGTTCAACTTGCTGAGATGTATGCTGATGACCTCTCCATATATGAGATTTCTTTTGTCCTTAGAAACCAACTTGAAAACTTCATTGCTGATGTGAGAGTTGATTCAAGTTTTGTTAGTTGTAATGACCTTGGTAGTCTTGCAGTGAAGATGGTTTGGACCGATAGACACATGGTCTTTCCTTTGGTATATCGTCTTATTGAGTTGGCATTGATTTTGCCTGTTGCAATCGCATCAGTGGAAAGAGCTTTCTCAGCTTTGAGTATTATCAAGACTGAGTTAAGGAATAAGATGGGTGATGATTGGTTGAATTATTCCATGGTGTGCAATATTGAGCGAGAAATATTTGCAAAGGTTGATAATGATGCTATTATATGTCGCTTTCAATCCTGTAGATCTCGTAAAGGAATTTTGCCTCGTCGTAGTAGTAAGTTTTCAACTTTGTACAATGTTAATTGTTTCACTTGATGTTTATGTCTTCTCTTATGAAATTTTGCTTTTGATTTCTCTAAGGTGTTGGCTCTTCTTTCACAGTTGATCAAGTTACGGAAGACACTGATGAAGCAAGCCATTGATTTGGTACTCTTTTTACTGCACGTACTTTCGTAGTTTTTGTCATCTGTTTATCTATTTTGTTGTATCTTTAAGCATTGAGTTTAAATTCTAAATTCTGGGTGCAATTGAACCATATTTGAGTTATTCTTTTGTGGTAGCTATAGTGTGATGGACGTTAAGTTTTTCTCTCGCGATAAAAAAAATATTGGGCCCGAAGCTTGCTCCAATCCAAGATCCACCACTGCATCACGCCACCATCACCATGGTCCTAAGGCCACAAGATGATGCAGATTGGCAGTAACGCCGGCAGGAGGCAAAAAGGCCCTAGTCGCGCTGGAGTCGCTTGTGGGGAGGAGGAAGACCTTGATGTAGGGATCCGCCCACGGATACATGTTGAGGAGATTAGGCAGTATTTCTAAGAAATATATACATGTTTCGGTAAGATGTACTGTTACTTTGATTTATACTATAAACTATAGTAGTTTTATTACAGATATATGTACATGACATTTACACCATGAGTTCAACATAGGATTTACAAGGTCATGCATGCATGGTACGTGATGCATGTACAGTGCAAGGCAACCGTACCCTGCCGAGATACACACACATCACACTTACGTACACGCGGCACGCGCTGACGCGCATATAGGCTAGTAGTTGATTAATTAATTAATCCAGCTCGCCATCAGGGGAGCCGGTTTATTTCCTGTACAGATCCTTGGTCCTGCAATACGTAGACAGTAATAGCAATCTGTAAATAGATTCCCGATTCTGCTGCTTGGTTTTCGTGGTCGTCATCGTCGGTCCGCCGCCGTCATCAGAACAGGAACGCCGTCGGCGCGAACGCCGGCATCGACGACGCCGTCTCGATGTGCCTGCGCACGTTCACACCCATGTAATCAATTAACTTCGATTATTTGCACCACAAATATCTAGAGAGAGAGAGAGACGCGTATCTGTATCGCGTACCTGTATTCGTCACTGTGCGCGCGGGGCAGGACCCTGGAGGCCACCCTGCCGGGCCTGGCCGGGACGACGCGCCCACCCGCTGCGGCCTTGCCCACGTCCACCGCGACACCCTCATAGATGTCCCCAAGCGCCGGCCTCCACTGCGGCGAACCGCCCAGCGACCTGGCCCTCCTCCGCCTCCTCCTTGCCGCCGCGCCGGTGGTCGTGGCAGCAGCCTGCTGCTGCAGCTGATCCGCAGGCGGCGCGTCGTCGATAGGTCCAGCACGGCAGCCGCAGGGCACGAACGACAAGAGCCTCATCAGCTTCCTGCGCACCCTCCCCTCTATCTTGGCCCCTCCCGATCCCTCTCTCTAGATCCTCCCTCCCCTGCCTCTAATCTCTCTCTTGATACACAGCTAACGATTCTCTCTGTACAGTCTACTCTACACTCTCCGGCGACGAAATCCCCGGCCGGCCGGCGCCCGTGTATTCACGGGAATGCCACTGCGTACGAGTGGCCTCAGCTCGCTAGCTGACCACCACTCGGCTAACGGGGAGAGCGTATCTGCAGTGTCACGTGTTGGGGCCGTTTTATAGGGTTCGCGGAGGGTGGCAAATGTCCCGAAACACCTCCGCTCCGCAGTGGGGTGGCCAAGGGTAGTCTCGGGAACGTGGAAATTGCCATTTTTCAGTGCCATGCTGTAGAGGGAGTTTCGGTGGGAACAAAAATAATACACTATCGCAAAAGTTCAGTCGACGTCGATCTGTAGGTACCGATCGCGTGGTGCGTATGCACGTGGCCCGGCCAAGTGGATGTGGCGGTGGGCCCGGGCATGCGCGTGCCTGATGGAGCCGTATTCTGTCTACGTGCGTACGTATCTGATGCGAGAGAATACGTACGGCGACCGTGCTCTGGAAGAGTGTACGGTGGGCCTCGGTTCCCAAAAGAATGCCAGTGGAATAGCAGAATGAACTTTTTTTTGAGGGGTAAACCAAGTAGCAGAATGAACTGTGAGTGATTATGCGAGACTCCATCAGGTTTGAGCCCAATTATTTTTTTTCTTTCGAGCAACCGGCAGGAGTTCTGCCTTTTCATTAAGAAAAAGAGAATTGACCGGTTTATAAGGAAAACCGGCCGAAAACCGATACATCTGCGATACATGCACACGCCAGCCCCGAGGCTGCGCACCACTCGAGTCGACGACACTGTCATCCAAGTGACCAAAGACGACACCCTACAACAGAGCACTGGGCTCCGGAGCCGCCGCTCTGACATCCACACCGGCCCCGAGGCCACACACCAGCCTAGTCGATGGCTCTGCCGCCCTAGAGGCCAAAGCCAACACCCTACGCACACGAGATCTCCGGCGCCGCCGCACCGACTTCCACTCCGGCCGCGAGGCCGCGAACCCACCTAGTCGATGACCATGTCGCCCTGGCGACCAAAGCCAACCACCACACGAAGGAGATACCCGGAGCCGCCGCTCCGACTTCCACGCCGGCCCCGAGGCCGCGCACTCGCCTAGCCGATGACGAAGTTGCAAAGCCACAGAGCCACCACCAGCAGATGAAGGACCGGGCCTTCAAAGGCGTCGCCCCCAAGAGGGAAGCGACGAGGAACGCCGCCGACGCCCACTTAGGCCAAGGCCGAAGTTTGGGTTTTCACCCGAAGAGCCCGTGGCTGAGTTGACGAGGGAGGTGAAGGGGCTCCACGACGCCGCCTCCAACAAGGAAACGACGTCCTAGGACGCCGTCGACGCTGGCATTGACCAAGGTCGAGCAAGGCTTTCACCCGAAGCTCACCAAACCCATCATCACCAAAGCCAATCACCACCGACGGCGGCCAAGCACTCTACACCGCTCGCCACCGCAAACCGCCTCTTAGGCCTTGTACAATGGAAGGTGCTTAGAGAGATGCTTAGAAAAATAAACCGGGTTTTTCTGAAGCACTGGTGCCTATTTCTACAGGAGAGACGCTTAGTTAAGCGTCTATCCTGTACAAATAAGCACCGATGCTTAAGAAAAGCCTGGTTTATTTCTCTAAGCACCTCCCCTAAACACCTCCCATTGTACAAGGCCTTACACGGCCAGCAAAACCACCATGGCACCACACGCCGACATGGCAGCCCCGCACCCACCGCCAAAAGCGGCGCCGCCGCGCCGCCATCCTCCTTCCTCCCTGCCGCAGCCAAACCACAGCGCCGCCTGCAGCCCACCGAACTCGAGGCTGACCCGCCGCCCGGCATCCGAGCATCTCAACCCCGCCATCACGCGCCCCAGATCCACGCCGCTAGAGCAGCAGCACTCGCAGGGCCGCCAGCCTCCCGTGCTAGATCCAGCCACCACGCCCGCGTCGGAGGGCCAGGCCACCGCCCGCGCCTGACCGAGGCGCCTCCTCTGCCCCGTCGCCGCACGCAGCCGAAGAAGCCCGCCAGGCACCACCCCCGCCCGATCCAGATCGAGGACGAGGTGAGCCAGCCCCACCACCACGCTGCCCGGCACACGGCCCACTCTGCTGCCGCCGAGAAAGCGCCGAAGAGCCACCGCGCCGCTGCACCCGGCGCCAGCGCCGCATCCCACCGTGGCCGCCCCGTCCCGCATCGAGGCCACCACGCGAGGAGCCGAGACCGCCCCGCCGCCGCCGGCGTCGGCCAGGCTTTGCCTGGCCGCACCCTATGGCGGCGGTAAGGGAGGAGGAGCGGGGGGAGGGGGGCCTCTGGCGGCGGCCGCGTGGTCGCCCTCCCCGTCGCACGCGGGGCGACGCGGGAGGGGATAAGATCCCAGTTATAAGTTTGTTGCAAAGTAGAAAAATACAGAAAATATCCAAAGTAGACAAAGCCTCCTCCTCAAGAAAAGTTTAGGGTTCCTTTGCCTCCCGTCGGCGCCGCCGCCGGTCCTCCTCATCTCCGGTGGCCTTAGGGCTAGATCCCGGCCCTTGCCGGCGGGAGGGCTCCCTTTTTAGATGTTTTTTCAAGTTTTATTAGGGTTTGTGTCCTGCTCAAGAAGACGAGACGGTGGTGGCTCTCTGAAGATGGAATAAGGTCTTCTCCACCTAGGCCCCGTTTCGGTGGTGTGTCTAGCATCATCCGTGGGCGTGTGGAGGTGTGTCTCCAGCAAATATATTCGTGTCGGATCTGGTCGTAGTTTATGTATGTTTGTGTTTCTTCGGGTTGGATTCTTCCGATCTACGCTACTCTTTATCGGTGGCGGTTGTTGTTCTGCTGCGTTGGTCCTATGGGGCCTTAGCACGACGACTTTCCAACTGTCTACTATAACAAGTTTTGCCCGGCTCCGATGAGGGAGGGGTGATGACAGTGGCGCGCCTTCGGCTCGCTTCAGTGCTTGTAGTAGTCGTTGGGTGGTCTGCGGACCTAGATGTAATTTTTATTATTTCTGATATTCGTTGTATTTCCATGATTGAAGATGAATAGATTGAAAATTTTCTCTTGCCCATTTGTTGGTAGATTGTTTGGTTTATAAGCATTCTGCCTCTTAAAATTTTGGCAAAATGGATAGAACTCCGTGTGGTTCGTAACCGACTTGACTGAATTACATCAGTGAATATGGGTCCATAGTAGAACACGCACTTGAACATCTCAAAAAAAAAAGAACACGCACTTGAATGAACAGTAAAAGTCTAAAAAATAGCAAAACAACAAACATTTCTGAATTTATTTTTCACAAACAGTCATCGAGTGTTCTATTTATATATGAAGACACACGATGAAATGGCACTCCTAGTGTTTTGGGCAAAAAAACAAAATCGTCCCCACCAAACTACTCAAAATTTTGCTTTTGCGGGCATTAATTTTCTATTCTTTGTTCAAAATACCACTCATGTCATTTCTTCGTGAAATTTCACACATGAGTAGAACACTCGAGTATATTTGTTAAAAAATGAATATGTTCGATTATTATTATTTTTGCTATTTCACCCATTTGAATGTTTATCTAGGTGCATGTTCACTCATGAGCCAAAGATTAATTCTGCCAACTACGTTGGCAAAATATTTCAAAAGACACCAACTTGAAATGTTCTCTCTTCTCTAAACCCTAGATAGGATATATTTTTTAGGGGGGGGGGGCATATTGCACCGCCACCCCTCCTCCACTGGTAGCTCGTCACCTCTCACCTCTTCTACCAGCTTAGTCTAGATGGGAGTGGGTGGAGGCCTCGATCTACCAGATGGAGCTCTACTCCCCACGCTTTGAGGCTTTTCATAGGGTTACGGAATGCGCTTCGCTTGTGGTGGTGATGGCGGCAATCTGGTAAATAAAGTTTCCTTGAGCCTCCACATCTGGACGATGTCGGGTAGATAGCTCGTTGGTGCAGATTCCTACGGTCTTCTATGGGCGGCTTCCCTTTGTAGTTTGGCCCTCCGGCCTACTCCCTCTAACCAGTGGCGGAGCTTGGGCATAATCCAGGAGGGGGCCATTACTTAAAGGGAAGAAAAATAATAGGAAAGGATGGGCTAATCTCTAGTTTAAACACTAGTTAGGCCTAATATTTAACTAATTCTTCAATGGATGCAAAAATTAAGGGGGCCATGGCCCCTGTTGGTCTCCATGAAGCTCCGCCATTGCCTCTAACGTTGGTGCAACCTCCTGCTTTGTCATGAGGTATGTGAACTCTTTTGAAGGTTGTGATCTTGGATCCTCCGGTGTTCATGACTTCTTCTACAGGGCACTAGCCCAACACGAGAGTCAATTTGATGATTCTCGTCTGCTATCAACAACGATTGGTTTGCTCCGGCAATGCAAAGGCATAACTAGCAACGCACCATTGGCCCATTCAGCACAAAGAAGGCGATGGGGCCCAAGAGCCTCGATGTATTTTCTTACTATAGGGTGTTTATATTGTTGGTTTCATTAATAGATTTGAAGCCCTTTTGCCAAATAAAAAGTTGGTAAGCTATTTCGATTGGCTAGTGCTTGCCATTTGATTCCAAATCTTTTTTCAACAAGCTCATTGAAAAATGGGACCAAGTGTGAAAAATGTATTTATTTTTTGGCGTAATATTCTCATATTTGATCATTATACTAGATATCGTTTTGTTTTTTGTGCCAAGGCGATTTATAAATCACAGGCCAAAATCGGGGAAACCAAGGGGCGTTCCTTGAATGTGACCACGGGTATATGTGAGAAATGATCAAGGGAGTTGTATTTGCGAGAGAATTAGGGGTTCCTACTGCAATGCACGACTACTTAGCCGGAGGATTCACCTCACGTATATTTAAACACATAACTACATCTGGGAGATGTATTATTTAAGTAATCTTCTGTTTTATCAAAGTTAACCCGTGATCCATCGTATATAAG